GTGGTTTTGCCATCTTGGCCAGGCTGGTCTGGAACTCCTGATCTCAGGTGATCTACTTGCCTCGGCTTCCCAAAGGGCTGGAATTACAGACATGAGCCACCACGCCTGGCCATACAAGGTCGGTTTCATCCCTTAGTAGATCCCCGAAGGAATTCAAATCTGTATCATCTGTGATTGGTTGAATCGTGCTTCTTGAAATTTGCATTGAAGTCCTAATCCCCAGACCCCATAAGGTGACCTTATTTGGAACCTGGGTCATTGTCGATGTGAGGAGTTCAGATGAGGTCATACTGGAGTAGGGTGGGCTGAGATCCAGTATGAATGTGACCTCACAAAAAAGGAGAAATTTAGACAGAGACACACGAAGAAACAACACCATGTGAAGATGAAGGCAGAGATTAGGGTGATGCTTCTGCACACCAAGGAACATCAAAGATTGCCAGGAAGGCCCCAAAAGCAAGGTAAGGCGCCTGGCACAGGTTCTCCCTCACTGCCACAGAAGGAATGAACCCCACCAACCCCTCTTCTCAGACCTCTGACCTCCAGCACTGTGAGACGCTACATTTCCCTTGCTTAGCCACCCAGTTCGTGGCATTGCGTTAGGGCAGCTCTGGCAAACTAATACATAATCCGAGAAAGACTGTCACACATTTACTATCTTTACTGCTGAATAATCCTTACCAATGGGCCCAGGCCGGGCATAGTGGCTGACGCCCGTAATGCCAGTACTTTGGGTGGCCAAGGAGTGTGGATCACTTGAGCCCAGGAGTTTGAGACCAGCCTGGGCAACACAGTGAGACCCCACTGTCACAGCAGAATAAATAAAATTAGCTGGGTGTGATGGCACACACCTGTGGTCCCAGTTACTCAGAGCACTGAGGTGGGAAAATCACGGGACATGGGAGGCTCTAGTCAGTCGTGATGGCGCCACTCCACTCCAGCCTGGACGACAGACAGCCTGTCTCAATAAAATAAAATAACATAACATAACATAACATAACATAACATAACATAACATAACATAACATAACATAAAATAAAATAAAATAAAAGCCCAGGAAGGTAGGGTCGGAGCCTAGACAGACTACAACCCAGATCTCTGGATTCTCAATTCTGTGCTCTTTCCACTACCCCTGACAGTCATGTCCTAGGCGTTAACATGATTGACCAGGTGCAGTGGCTCACACCTATAATCCTAGCACTCTGGGAAGCCAAGGCGGGCAGATTGCTTGAGCCCAAGAGTTTGAGACCAGCCTGGGCAACACGGTGAGACCCTGTCTCTACAAGAAAATACAAAAACTACCCAGGCATGGTGATGCATGCCTGTAGTCCCAGCTACTCGGGAGGCTGAGGTGGGAGGATTGCCGAGCCCAGGAGTTGGAGGCTGCAGGGAGCCACGATCATGCTACTGCATTCCGGCCTACTCCCTAAAGATATGCAGTAGACACAGGAGGAAGCACGTCCATTCAGACTTTTCCCATGCATTCAACTCATAATAACAACACCAGAATCAGACCGCATATACCACTTTGCAACACGTTTTGTTATTGCTGTTTTATCGTGTTTATTTTGCTTAACATTATATAGATGACATCTTTACAAGTAATAAGTATAGTAAAGATACCAGATACCACAAGTAACATAACCCATCACCTATTGATGGATTTTTTTTTTTTTTTTTTTTGAGATGGAGTCTTGCTCTGTTGCCCAGGCTGGAGTGCAATGGCGCGATCTCAGCTCACTGTAACCTCTGCCTCCAGAGTTCAAGCAATTCTCCTCCCGAGTAGCTGGGACTACAGGCATGCACCACCATGCTCGGCTAATTTTTTGTACTTTTAGTAGAGGTAGGGTTTCACCATGTTGGCCAGGCTGGTCTCGAATTCCTGACCTCAGATAATCCACCTGCCTCGGCTTCCCAAAGTACTGGGATCACAGGCATGAGCCACTGCACCTAGCCCTTGATGGACATTTAGATTGTTTCCCTTTTTTTTTTTTTTTTTTTTTTACCAACACAAATAATACTGCAGAAAATAGTCTCAAGTAACTTTGCACATTTGTAACATTTGTATCTTTTTTTTTTTTTTTGTAGAATAAATGCCTAAACATGGCAAATCTGTTTGTGATGGTTTTAAATAACCTCTACAAAGTATTTGATCCTTCTCCCATCAAAAGTGGAGTTTAATTCTCCTCCCTTTGAATATGGGCCAGTATTTGTACTTGTTTCTAATAAACAGAATGTGGTAGACATGGCACAGGGTGGCTTCTGTGGTTAGGATAGAAAAGGTGACACAGCTTCCACCTGGCTCCCTCTTTGTCAGTTCCTCATCCTTGAAACACAGCCACTTCACATTGGAGAGAAGCCCAAGCCACACGGAGGGGCCCCAGCTGGCCGCCAGACCCACCTGAGGTCACAGCCGACAGCTGGCATCAACCTCCAGCCTTGACAGTGAATGAACCTTCGGATGGCCCAGTCCCGTCTCATTATTTTATACCGACATGATTTACCCTCAAAAGAAAAATGAAAGAAATACAAATTATAGCAATGTCATCTTTAGCAAGGACTGCTTGCAAGGTTGGCCCTTGGTTGGTATCTGGGAAATTGACTTGGGGAGTGTTCCCACTCTTCCCTGATAAGAACAGCTCACTGCCCCTAAACCGTGGAAACACTGTGGTTTATGTCTTCGTACTGGGAGTCCAGAATTTCGGTACATGCTAGGCAGAGGGTGCCTTTGTGACTAGCCTGCAGTAAAATCCTCAGTGCCAAATCTCTAGTAAGTGTCCCTGACAGATGACATTCCACACGTGTTGTCCCAACACACTGCTGGGGGAAGTGAGTGCGTCCAGCGTGTGACAGGGTCTTGGACCCTCACACTCCCTTTCCTCTGGACTTGACCCATGTGCCTTTTCCTTTGCTGATTTTGCTTCATGTCCTGTTGTCGTAATACATCATAGCCTCGAGTATCACTGTATGCTGAGTCCTGCGAGTTTTCCTAGCCAATCGTCAAACCCACGGTGGTCTCAGAGACCCCAACACGCCATGGCAACAAGACTACAGGGAAGCCGGCGCTTCCTGTATGTGTACACATTGCTGGTGGTACCTGCATGGACACCATGAGAGCAACACAGCCTGTCTGTTGAAAGCCACTCAATGTCCACTTCCTCTGACTCAGTAATCCCATCGGGGAATGTGTCCTGTGGCAACAATTCCACAGCAAGAAGCAGAGGCTTGAAGACCCTCATCACAGCTGGTGCTAAACCTGAACAAAATCTAAATGTCCAAGAAGAGATAAATTTACTTAAACACATTATGGTGCATCAACTCTAAGAAACTGGCTACAATGAGATGTGTAAAGCTTATAAAGCACCTGTGGTCCCAGCTACTTGGGAGGCTGAGATGGATCCCCTGAGCCCAGGGAGGTGGAGGCTGCAATGAGCTATGACCATGTCTGGGTGACAAAGTTAAGACCCTGTCTCAAAAAAGAAAAAAAAATTGTAAAGAGAAACATGAAAAGATGTTGCTGATACATTAAAAACAATTTTTTTGGCCAGGCATGATGGCTCACGCCTGTAATCCCAGCACTTTGGGAGGCCAAGTTAGGCAGATCACTTGAGTCAAGAGTTCAAGACAAGCCTGGCCAACATGGCGAAACCCCGTCTCTACTAAAAATGCAAAAATTAGTCGAACATGGTGGCGCACGTCTATAATCCCAGCTACTCAGGAGGCTGAGACGGGAGAATCACTTGATCCCAGGAGGTGGAGGTTGTAGTGAGCAGAGATCGTGTCCCACTGCACTCCAGCCTGGGTGATAGAACGAGACTCTGCCTCTAAATAAATAAACAAACAAACAAACAATTTTAAGCTGAGTACAAAATGGTGGGCACATTGACAGCAACTGTACAACCAACAGTTAGACCCAAAGCGGCTACTTATAAGTGAAAACGGTTGGGGCTATAAGAGGAAGGCCGGTGCAGATTTTTCCATAGATAAATTGGGCCTTCCTTTAATGTTGCTGTTCTGATGAACCGGGAGCTTTCTGGGGACTTGGCGGGAGCAGCTGACAAGGCAAGAATTGTGGCCCTGGATGCTTCCTCTGCGGTCACCGCCTGGTATGACGCCTCCAAGGTGTGTGCCTGCAGGAAGGAGGGAGAGGGTAGTAAAGCCAACTTTTCATCCAAAAAGCAGAGGCTTCGGGGACAAAAGGGACAGAAAATATCCCCTGCAAATTAAAAAACGCAGACACACATTTCCCCTGCCTTCACCTCCCACGGACCCGCCCCTTCAGCTCTCTCCCGCGGGCTCCCAAGGTCCGGGGCCCCTGGGCTCTGCGCCCGCGGAGCTGGGCGGAGCTCGGGACCCTCCCTCGCCCGCCGACCCGGGAAGGGGCGGGGCCGACAGGAAGTGGGCGGGGCTGGCTCGCAGGGCGGAGCCTCGCCTCTCTCTGTGAATCGCAGGTGTCCTTGCTCCCGGGCTGGTGGGGCCACCCTGTGGCTGCCTGGGCTGGAACGTTCTGCCTCGCCCAGCTGAAGGCCCTAAACTTGCTAAGCCTTTTAGGGTTGAGGAAAACCCATTAAAAGACAACTCCAGCAACCTCCCAAAGGCAGGGATTCTTGTGCTCCCCTGGAAAGTCTCATGTAAAGTTAAACCACAAAATGTAGGGTGTGCCCTGAGCCCTCGCTCAAGGGCACAGAGCAAGTCACTGGCAGAGCAGGGACTGGAACCCGGTGTCCTGATCCCCAGGTGAGGCCAGCCTTAGAGCTGCGGGAGGGGTAGGGCGGCGTGGGTCCTCCCAGGCTGGGGCTCATGAGGCACACCCAGAGTGAATTTGGATGTTTTTCCAGGGATAAGGACATGTGAAAAGAGACTGGCAGTGACTGACCTGGACTGGCAGGTGAGGTGTTTTTTTTCCCCTCAACATTTTATTTTGAAATTTTTCAGACACACAGAGAAGTTGAAAGAATGGCAGGGCAGACACCCAGCATATGCCCGCCCATATGCCCACCACCTAGATTCTACAGTTACGTTGTATTGTATTTGCTTTGTCACCCATCAGTCCAGCCTTCTATCAACTCTCGGTATGAAATGGTTTTTAAATTATATTTTAATTTTTAAGAACCAATCTCCAGCTGGGCGCCATGGCTCACACCTGTGATCCCAGCGCTTTGAGAAGCCAAGGTGGGTGGATCACCTGAGGTCAGGAGTTCGAGACCAGCCTGGCCAACATGGTGAAACCCTGTCTCTACTAGAAATACGAAAGAAATTAGCTGGGTGTGGCAGTGCACACCTGTTTTCCCAGCTACTCGGGAAGCTGAGGCAGGAGAATCACTTGAACCTGGGAGGCAGAGATTGCAGTGAGCCAAGATCGCACCACTGCACTCCAGCTTTGGTAACAGAGTGAGACTCCGTCCAAAAAAAAAAAAAAACTCAGTGGAAATATTTAGCCTCTATATACCTCAGGAACTTGATCAGTCATGATGGTTTGTTGCAGATGCCCTTGCTGGCCTTTTTTGTCCTGGTCCCTGTGTCTAGAGCCTGTGGCCAGGGCTGGAGGTATCTGAGCAAACTGCATGGCTGTTCCCAGCTGCTCAGGGCTACAGCCTGCGGTCAGCCTGACAAAGCCTCCCAGGACACATTGTCCTCTCTAAAGACACTCACGGGGTGTCTTTAGAACCCCCCTTCTGGGGGTTCAGGGAAGTCAGAGCCGCTGCTCCTTGGGCATGGCAGGAACCTGTCGTCGCGGTGCAGGGAGCACAGACACCTCCATGGGAGCAGCACTCAGAAAAGCCTGGCCCGGGTCCCAGCACACAGCGGCCCACCCTGCCACGCTCCTGCTGCGCTCATCTTTACCAGGAAAGTTTAAGTCACTAGATGCCAGCCTGTGTCATCCCAGCTCTGAGGGGAGGGACAGAGGAGAGACAGAGTCCCAGGCTTGCAGCTCTGATTTTAGACTAATGTTTTCCCAAAAGGTCACACCCCTCAGCTCCATCCTCATGCAAGTGTGGGAAGACAAGGCTGGCAGCTCTTTCTGGCCTGGCTCTCAGCCCTGTCTTCTCCACGCCAGCCCTCCACCTGAGGCCGGTAGGGGCTTCACTGCCATTGCTTACCCACACCATGGCAATGGCGACCTCACCTGTTTCTTACCCCTTTCCTGATGGTTCTGTTCCCTGCATTTCCGTTGGGGCTCACAGCCCATCAGTATCTCCCCACTGGGTACAGGATACAGTGGAAAACACCCCGGGGCCTGCCCCCATGTGCCCTGCCACCCCTGTCCTTGTCTCCTCCCCCACATCTCCCAAAATGCCAGGCTCTCTCTTGCATCCAAGCTTTTGTGGTCACCCCAGTTTTTCTACCTGACAAGTCCTTTCACCTGTGAAGTCCCAACTCCTTGCTGCCTCCCTCACAGAAGCAGAATCCAGCAGGGGCACACAGGACTGGCCACAGGGCGAGCTCAGTGGTTCCCTGGCTGCCCTGCACCCCAGGCACTCTGCGCAGGCCTCTATTCATCAGGGTTTTGTCTGCACTTAGCTCTTCCTGTACAACGATAGGAAGCAGCGGTCCAGCCGAATGGACCCACAGAGAAGCTGCGTGGAAGGAACTGTGAATCTGCCAGCACCTACCGGAACGGCACGAAACCCAGAGAACCGCCAGCACCTACCAGAACAGCACGAAACCCAGAGAACCGCCAGCACCTACCAGAACAGCACGAAACCCAGAGAACCGGAAGCAGAGAGTGCAGGAGGCAGAAGTGATGAGAACAGCGGGCATCCCTGGAGCTCAGCAGCGCCAGACCAGGAGAGGCTGCCACAGAGGGAGCCTGGCTGCACCCAGTTAGAACAGAAACAGGGCTGAGGGCTCGGACCGTGAGCCCTCAGGTTCTCCCTGTTCCCTTCAGCTGGTGACTGTGTGACCGTGGGCGGTCACTTAATCTTGCCGGTAAGGGCCTCAGTTTCCTCATCTGTAGAATGGCGTTGGAAAGGCACGGCTGGGAGATCTCAGACATAAAGCAGAGTGCTGTGTGAACGCTCCGGGTTTACAGACAGAGCGGATGTTCCTAGTGCATTGCACTCATTTTCCCTCGCCCGACAGAAGCTCATGACCTCCGCCATTGTTCCCAAACAAGCAGGAAGCTTCACACTGATGCCTGATCCACAATTCCCAGAGCGCCCTCAGGGCCACCATCTCGTGCAAGCCTCGTAGCATCCACGAGGAGGCAGCACAGGACTATCATCGCCCCACGGCCTGAAGGCGGCTGCCGGAAGCCAAGTGCGACAATGGTGGGGGTGGCCCCCAGGAGCCCCAGCTTCGCTCCCTCCTCCTCCCCTACCCTGCTCGGAGGACTCCGGCCTCGGGGTAGGGGGCTGCTGAACTGGGCGTGGCATCTACTCAAGAACTCTCTGCCCCCCAGCCCTAGGGCTCAGATCACACACATACACACACACACACACACACACACACACGCACACACGCACACACGGGGCCCGCCTCTTTCCTGGGAGCTGCCCGTTCCCAGGACAACAGTCAACACAGGCGGGAGTTCAAAACAAAACTGGGCTCAAATGCTCTCCCCATCAGCCACTCTGAGCTCGAGGCCTAAAGCGACAGTGAGGAGGACCCTGCCCAGGCTGTCCCGGGGTTAGGAGGGAGAGAGTGTTCCAGGAGGAGGTTTGAGCTGAGCTCAGGCACAGGAGTCTCTCTCTCTCTCTCTCTCTCTCTCTCTCTCTCTCTCTCACACACACACACACACACACACACACACACTTGCACCCATGGGGAGCCACCCCACCCCTGGGCTCCAGAGAACCACATCACCTGGGCACCGATTGTACCCCACCAGGCCGCCAACCTCTGTCTCCCCAGCTGCCCGGATTGGCCCTATGGTCAGCAGAGGTCTTGCTGGTGGCTGTCAGGCCCCCCAGGCTCTGAAGGCGCAGCGGGTGGCCCAGGGAGCTGTCTGCGGTGGCGGTGGCGTGCAGCAGGACCAGCTGTGGCGGGAGCTCCTGGAGGCCGAGCGTCGGGGCCAGCGGCGCTGGTGAGTCCCTGCCCTCCCTTCTCCACCCTGACCCCCGCAACCTGACTACAAGTTGGGGAAACTTTTGGAGAAAGGGAGATGGCTGGGCAGCTGATCCGAGCTGAGGGACAGAGAGCATGGCATGCCCCGGGGGGAGGCGGGTCACCAGCCCAGCCTAGAGCCAGACCTGAGCCTGAGCTAGGAGGCCAGGAAGATGGAGGCCGGGATCAGATGCCGCTGGGTCCCAGCAGCCCCGCCTCCCTGGAACAGGAGCCTGCTGGCCTAGTCTGGGTGAGAGGCGCTGGCCATCTGACCTGACTCTGGGAAAGATGCTCCTTCATGCCTTCATTCAACCAAAAATCCCCATGAGCCGCTCTGAAAGGAGACCAGATGCAACAAGGGACTGGACAGACCTGGCCATGGCTCCACGGAGCCTTCATACTCTGGACAGGGCAGCCAAAAAGCAAGCAGCAAAGCAAACAAGTACAAATCTGTAAGAAATGTGACCAGCGGTAAGAAGGAAACAGTTCAGGGTTAGGGGGAGAGCTGGCTGAAGGCCTCTCTGAGGAGACTTTTAAGCTGAGACATGAAACAGGAGAAGGAGCCAAGAGTTTGACGTATCTAAAAAACAAAACAAAGAATTCGTGTAGCTGAGGCACAAGGAGTGAGGAAGGCCACAGGATAAGGGGGAGCACCCGGGGGACCACCCCAGCCCTTGTAAAAGTCTAGATGCGTTTTTTCCAAAGGAGACACCATCCAGGATTTTAAGCAAGAACATGGCATGATCTCAATTACATTTTTAAATGAGCAGCCTGATAGATTCTAGGAAGCACTCATCTTGCACCGCTGAAACTTCATACCCGTGGATTAGCAACGCCCCATTCCCCCTCCTCCCAGCCTCTGGCACCCACCATTCTAGTCTTTGCTCCCAGGAGTCTATTTTCAGTGCCTCATAGAAGTGGAATTGTGCAATATTTGACTTTCCATGTCCGTCTTGTTAGCTTAGCATCCTGTCCTCCGGGTTCATCCATCTTGTCGCGTATTACAGAATTTCTCCCATTCTGAGGCTGAATGTATATATGTGCAGTTTCTTTATTCATTTGTCAATGGACTTTACGTTGCTTCCACATTTGACTGTTATATGTATTGCTACAATGGACATGGGAGTGGTTTCAATTCTTTTGGATGAATTCTCAAAAATGGATGTCTTAGTCCATTTTGCATTGCTGTCAAGGAACACCTGAGGCTGGGTAATTTATAAATAAGTGTATTTGGCTCACCGTTCTGCAGGCCGTACAAGCATAGTCTTGGAATCCGCTTGGCTTCTGGTGAGGGTCTCAGGAAGCTTACAATAATGGCAGAAGGTGAAGGAGGAGCAGGCGTGTCGCATGGTAAGAGAGGGACCCAGAGAGAGAGGGGGAGGTGTCAGGCTCTTTTTAACAACCAGCTCTCTCCTGTGAACTAATAGCGCAAGAGCTCATTCATTACCGCAAGGAAGGCACCAAGCCAGTCACGACCCAAACACCTCCCACTGGGCCCTACCTTCAACACTCGGGATCACATTTCAATATGAGATTTGGAGAGAACAAACACTCAAACCATATTGGAGGGATTGTAGGATTATATGCTACCTCTATTTTTAATTTTTTGAGGAACCTCCATTGTCTTTTCCATAGCAGTGGCACCATTTTGCATTCCCATCAGCAGTATCTCAGCATTCCAGTTTCTCCACACAATGGCCAACACTCATTGATTGTCTTTTGGTTTTTGATAACAACCATCCTAATAGGTGTGAGGTGGTATCTCATTGTGATTTTTTGTTTTGTTTTGTTTTGAGATGAAGTCTCACTCTGTCACCCAGGCTGGAGTACAGTGGCGTGATCTCGGCTCACTCCAACCTCTGCCTCCCAGGTTCAAGCAATTCTCCTGCCTCAGCCTCCCAAGTAGCTGGGATGACAGATGCCCTCCACTACTCCTGGCTAATTTTTGTATTTTTATTAGAGACAGGTTTTTACCATGTTGGCCAGGCTGGTCTTTTTTTTGAGATGGAGTCTTGCTCTGTCACCCATGCTGGAGTGCAGTGGTGCGATCTCAGCTCACTGCAAGCTCCGGCCAGGCTGGTCTTGAACTCCTGACAGCAGATGATCCACACGCCTCAGCCTCCCAAAGTGTTGGGACTACAGGTATGAGCCACCGTGTTTGACCTCTGTGGTTTTGATTTGCATTTCTCTGATGATGAGTGACATTGATAATCTTTTCATATATTTATTGGCCATTTATTTATCTTCTTTGGAGAAATGTCTATTCAAGTCTTTAACCCATTTTTTCAATTGGGTTATTTGGTTTTGTGCTACTAAGTTGTAGAAGTTCCTTATACATTTTGAAAATGTATAAGGAAATGTATAAGGAAATGTATAACTCCTTATCAGAAATATGATCTGTAAATGTTGTCTCCTATTCTGTGTGTTGCCTTTTCACTTTGTTGCTTGTTTCCTTTGCTCTTCAGAAGTTTTTGAGTTTGATGTAATCCCATCTGTCTATCTGCTTTTGTTTCCTGTCCTTTGTGTGGCATATCCATGGAATAATTGCCAAGCCCAATGTCATGAAGCTTCCTTCTATGTTTTTGAGTGGATTGGTATGTATCATGTTAGAAAGGATCCAATTTCATTCTTTTGCATATGAAAAACTTCTGCACAGCAAAGGCAACAATGAACAGAGTGAAAGGCAACAATGAACAGAGTGAAAAGGCAACCTACAGAATGACAGAAAATATTTACAAACTGAGTAAATGTGGGAGGAAAGGTGAGGAAGGAATAAAGGATGACAGGTCTCAGCTTGAATAATTAATAGGGAGGAGAAGATAAATGATGAAGATGCTGAGTTCTGGTGAGTTTTAAATGTCCGAACCATGTCTAGATGGAGCTGCCAGGAGGTAGTTGAGTGTGAGAGTCAGGAGTTGCGCATTAAAAACCCGTCCAGAAGGGGAGAATGAGGACTGGCTGGGAATGGACACAAGGTGTTTTGTGGGTGATGAAATGTTGTGGAATCAGAAAGTGGTGATGTGGTTGCCCAACTCCGTGAATATATTAAAGTCATTGAATTGTGTGCTTTACAAAGTAAATCTTACGGAATGAGAATTCTGTCTCAGTTTTAGCAGGAAACGGGTGGGCATTGGCCCCAGCGATGTGAATAAGCTCTCCCCGGAAGAGCACAGTGGATCAGAAGAGGCGAGGATGCAGGACAGAACTTGCAACGTTTACTAGAAAGGCAGAGATGCTGCCAGGAAACACCAGAGAAGGAAGCCAGGGGCATAAGGAGGTGTAAAGACCAAGGGGAAAGAGTTTTGCAAGGTCTGGAAAGCCCAAAGAGGAATGTGTAAGGCAGTGCTGCCTGACAGAAACACAATGTGAGCCAGACACATAGCTTAAATGTTCTAGTGCTGCTTTGAAAAATGAAACAAGAGGTCGGGAACAATGGCTCACACCTGTAATCCCAGCACTTTGGGAAGCTGAGGCAGGTAGATCACCTGAAATCAGGAGTTCGAGACCAGCCTCGCCA